CATCGCGCTCTCCTTCGACCCCGGCAAGGAAGAGCTCGCCCGCCGGCTCGGCGCGGACGAGTTCATCGACGGCACGAAGGTCAACCAGGCGCAGGAGCTGCAGAAGATGGGCGGGGTGAAGGTCATCATGTCCACCGCGCCGAACGCAGCTGTCACGGAGAACCTCATCGAGGCGCTCGCGGTGGATGGCACGCTCTTGGTGCTTGCGGTCGAGCCTGAGCCGATGCGAATCCCGCCGCGTGAGTCGCAACGTCCTTCTGAGAGTGTCAGTCCACTGATGGATGGGCTAGTTGCACTGCTGCTCAAACGGCTCTCGATCAGAGGTTGGCCTTGTGGCTCTCCCAGTGATGCCGAAGACTGCTTGGCATTTGCGAAGGCGAAGAACATAAAGTGCATGGTGGAGCGGTTCCCACTGCATAAGGCCCAGGAAGCCTTTGACCGCCGGGAGACCGCACGCTTCCGGGCTGTTATTGTGCCTTGAAACAACCGCTAAACCCGTTAGTGGTATTCTCGGATAATATTGCTAACGCACATGCAGAGTTCCCTCTTCTTCTCCACGCCTTCATCTCTTTATACATTGCTTTCGTTCACCATATATACTATAGTACAGACGTACATCCACGGAATCGTGCGCTTTTCTTTATATGCTCTAAACGATTTGGACGCTCCAGTATAGCATGTACGCCTCGGCACCGAATATATTCGGCTTGAACTGATCTCGCAGCTCGGCGCGAACGACGATCTTCTCGGCGAAGTCTTCGCCTTCAGCTTCAGCGAAGACCCTCTTCCACATCTGCGGCCAGGACTTCTCCGAATGACCGTAACGGTTCCTGCTAGTGTAGTCCGCATCAGATGTCCCAACCCCTTCAAGGCTATCATTGATACCAACCGGCCATATTGGTCGTTGATAACTCCCTCCTCCCGAAGGCCCTGATGACGTCCGAATATGATCGCTCCCGGGCTCCTTCTTAATAGGGTGACCAGGCGTAGAGCGAGTGAGTACTGCACTTCCGCAGTGAACAAGTGGAAGAGCGCCCCGGTGTAGATGTGTGTCAGTGCCCCGCGAAGCTGGATGAGGTCATTGACCGTCGATGGATCGGATACAGAGACATTGCTGGAGGCGGGCTCAGTTGTCTTCGGTAAATCGAAGACGTTGGAAGTGAAGAAACGGATGGGGCATCTATCGGCGTCACCGAAGAGCTCATAGCCGAGCTCCATGAACTCGGGTCGGAGGTCGCACCCGAAGACATGCTCCGCCGGATAGCCATCATAGACCAGCTTGCGGACGTCCGTGCCCACTGAGGTCCTCATGAGCATCGCAAACTATCACTCAAAAGTTCAGGTTAGACTCACTGCAACATCCAAGGTCCAAGAATAGGGTATCGTGCTTCCTGCCTGCCTCAAGCACCGTCGGGTAGATCGCGTTGGTGATCATCATGAGGTTGACGAAGTGGAATGCACGGATGCATGGATACGGATATTTCTCGCTGAATGGGCAAATAGTAACATATGTCGTGCATCAGCCTCCGAGTCCTTGATGCGTTCAGAAGGCCTCACTATGCTCTATAGACATTGAACAAGGAGGGAGCCGCTTTAGATCGAGTAGTTCATTCTCGTCCACCTCAACGCACCTCTTCTGGATTTCCAGTATCTTGGCCCGGAGCTCCTCGTCATCAGGGGTGATCACTGCGTGCAGAAAGTCGCTGTCTTCTCGACTCAACTGCAGGATTGTGGGATCAAGCGGCGGGACGGTTTCGAGAGCTATCTCTTTCTCTTGGACGATCATCCTGTTGACTCGGAGATTTATCAGTGGACGACTCGGAGCTTCAAGTGTCCTCTTAGGAGGACGTGGACAAGGCGATTGGCAATATGCTGCTGCGAGAGCCCGTCTATATATATATGTCGCAAATCTGGGACATGTGCGATGGTGTAATCGACTACCCAAAGGGTGGTCCGTGACCGTGTGAGGTGTCCTAGTATAGGTATGTATCGGTCTATTACCGATCCTACACGCAGCATCACGGTAGAGGTCACAGTCTATGCCTGGAGCGTTGTATGCAGACTGTCAGAGCCATACTTAGGGCGAGAAGATGAAGCTTGTACTAGAACACCTTCGCTCAGACAGCCGGGTACAGTGGTGGCCCTGCCAGTGGTGGAGCCTGAGATAGAGAGGGTTTATATTTGTCCAAAACAGCAGGACTTGGTACCAGACACGTGGCGTGCGCGTTGATGATTCCACGGCACTCGCGAGCGCCCCACTCGTTCGGGTGGTTGCGACGAACGTTGATCATGCTATCGTCTGCATGTCTTACATCATGATGCATGCCGGCCTGTATGGCATGCAGTAAAAGCTCTCGAAGGTGAGGACTCTCAAGTCGTTCGACCAGCATCGTGACAACTCACTCCGGCTTCCGTGTAGTGGTTATACATAGCATTAATATTGAGCTCTAGTTTGAACGTTAACCATGCTAATATTGATGGCAGGTCAATATATAGCCGCGCTTCCTGCGTTTCTTCTCCTGCGCAACACCGGAAACCCAGCGACCAGGTCGAGTACTTCGGGTCCCTCGAGGTCACGGTACCAAGGGACATCCAAGCATTGTTGACCCGGTGCATCTCTTCTCAGTGCTCACCCGCGCACACGACATGACTTGGGAAATTGGGTGCCCGCTAGTATGTGCGATGGCATCCGTTGACCCACGAACGTGCGTGTGGCTCGCATGGTCCTCATCAATGGTGCATCCATCGGTAGTTTGACTGTCAAGAGCCTCAGGCTCCCAATGGCCGCCATATTTAAGCCGTTGGCGGTGATGATCCTCCGCCGATCCCTTCAGGCTGAAAATGATCTCAGCAGCTCGTGTGCTTGTCGTCGTCGCCTTGCTTGCGCAAGCTAAGACCTTGCTTGGGCGGCCCTTTAGGCCGCGGTCTACTCGCACGGAGCCTGATCCTTCCTTTGCCGTCACCGTGACCCTGGGTGGGAAGCAATACGTGAACAAGGTGTGTTGGAGACGCTATAGCCACTGTTGAATCATGCTGATTATTCGCGCTTCCAGGGCCTCGTTGGGTTCGGCTTGATTCCATCGAACTTCACGGAGTCAACGGGTAGGACTGTGTACTCAAAATGCACTGTACTGCTTGCTTGCTGACACGAGGCGTTAGGCGACACTATAGGAGGCATTGGCAGCGCGATTGCACTCAAAAGAGGCTCCTTCGCTAAGAATGCTGATGGAACCTTCCAAGGGACCATCATCGCCCAACCCGACAGAGGGTTCAACATGTGAGTCCATCCGCCATTCGCTTGCCAATTGCTTTGTTAACATGTCATTTCCTCAGCGACGGGACCATCGATTATCAAGGGCGGCAACATGAGATTGACTTCGTACTCTCGCCGTACTATGACGATGACAACCTATCCTTTGAGGACGGTTTACAGACCTTGAAGCTCACCTATCGCGATACGCTTTTATACACTGAGCGCGCTGCCCGAAAGACCACAGGTCTGGACGCCTTGGGCGTACGTCCTGCGGAACTGTTATCTCATTTTCTCACTATCGAGGATCCACCGCTTCCGATCGCGCCATCTAATGGTCACTTGGCCCTTGACTTGGAAGGTCTTGTTCTCAACGCTGACGGAACGTGAGCGTGTTTCTTCGAGCGTCTTTGACCTATCTGAACCCCAGTTGTGCAGTTTCTGGGTCAGCGATGAGTATGGCCCATACATATATTTGATGTCTCCACAAGGCCAGCTCATTGAGACGGTTCAACCTCCCGAGGCCATCCTCCCTTTGGTAAACAGTAAACTCAACTTCACCTCCGAGACGGATCCGACTACTGGGCGCGCTGGAAACCAGGGTATGTGACTTGCAGTATCTCCTGAAAACCGTGAGCTGAGACGCATATCAGGTTTTGAGGGCCTTACTGTCGATGCCTCAGGCAAGACGCTGTATGCCCTCTTGCAGTCCGCAACGATTCAAGATGGGGGCTCGGACAAGTCTACCTCCAGGTTCACGCGCTTGCTCGCGTATGACATCAGCGACGCGCTTCTTGTGCGTCCTCATGTCATCGGTGAATGGGTCGTTCCTCTGCCCGTCAGCAAAAAAGACAACACACGAGCGGCGAGCGAGGTGCATCTTGTGAGCGACGGCGTTTTCCTTGTGCTAGCGCGTGATGGAGACGGCCACGGTGGGGACGATGCCAAGTCATCCTACAAGTGCGTGGTTGTGGCTCCTTCGTACCATCTGCTGCTCACCTCCATTACTCAGGCAGGCGGACCTCCTCGATATAAGGAATGCCACGGACATTCATGGAACTAAGTTTGATGATCCCGCGCATCCCATCGCTGTCAACGGAGTCCTGGACGAGAGCATCACACCCGGAACATATGTATCATTTGTCGACTTTATCGACGATACTCAGCTGGCCAGATTCGGAGTGCACAATGGTGGGTGCTTGGAGATTGACTGATAGATGCTGTGCGAAGCTCTGACTCGCGCGTTGCACAGGCAAGCCAGTCGACCAGACTCTCATTGATGCGAAGTGGGAATCGCTCGCTCTGGCCCCATGCTTGGACCCCAGTTTCCCTGACGATTTCTTCCTGTTCACGGCGGTAAGCGACTTCCTACCGCGTTTCTCAGCATGCGCGTTGGCTCATGCTATCCACCGTAAATCAGGCCGACAATGACTTCATCAGCACCCAAGGTATTTCACTGGGCAAGCCATTCAACGCTGGCTTGGATGTCGATAACCAGTTCATGGTCTTCAGGCTCACTCTGCCTGGTGCTGCCACGGGAGATCATGCGTAGTTTCCGATTTGGATCCCGTTGCCATCTGTACCTCAGCATCTCGGGGCCGGATTGAAACGGTGTCTTTGTTCTGTAATTGAAACCTTCGCACGCTATGCACTAAGCGTGAAAAGTTACCCACCTTACACGAGTGGTCACACCCTCTGTGTTGGATACGAAGTATCGTCCTGGAAGCCCTCGCGACGGGGAAAAAGTAAATCCTTCGAGCCGGGATCGAACCAGCGACCTTGAGATGACAGGTGGTAACCAATTACAGTCTCACGCTCTTCCAACTGAGCTATCGAAGGCTTGTTAGATCAGATAACAATTGAAACATGTGTAAAAAAAACACATTGGATGTACTCTTTGAACGTGTGTATGAGACGCTGTGCGCGTGAGAGGACGCCAAACGTTCCCCCTTGCATCAGGACCATGAGCATGTTCTGGCGCTGGTTTCTGGTCGTGTCGTGTGCCAGCCTTGCTCACTCTCAGTCGCCGTCCTCGAATACCCAAGTACCATTAGGGGTATCAGATACGAGCGTCATTGCGGATGCCTCTGGTATTCTGAGACGTTATGCCCTGCAGCGGCAGCCATCGCCTGGCTGGGATGTGCAAGATATATTAAACGCCGTAAAGGTCTAGACAATAGTTCCAATTGATGTTTTCCAATACAAACTAATGTCGTCTTCGCTCCAGGAATCCGATGGCCAGGTGTGGCAAATTGGTCCATCTCATGTGGACGTCTACTTCGAGCAGCCGAACCAACGACTAGACCTGCCCGTTCCGGAAGTAGGTGCCATACCGCTGAACAGCATTGCGGACCTCTACTCCCCAATAGCGGGGGGCAAGCTCGGTTCGCTCGCCAACTCGACATATCACTCGGTGTACCATCCATTGTATGAGATCGAGGACTTCATGCAAGAAATGGCGAGCGCATATCCCAACCTTGTGGAGTTGACCAATCTAGGGCACTCCTCTGAAGGCAGAGAGATGCTCGCCATGCGGGTATCGAAAGGTGACCCCGAACTTCGCAACTCCGAAGGCACGGCAGCCAAGAAGACGGGATTTGTCATAACCGGAGCTCAGCACGCTCGTGAGGTCAGCAAGCTTTGATCGCATGCATGCCGTATAGCATGACACCCATCGCTCACGTTCATGAGATCCAGTGGATAGCAACTTCGACCGCCTTGTATCTCGCGCACGCGCTCGTGGCTGATGCCGCCGAGGACTTTGCGCTCTCGTCGTGGCTGGACTACTTCGTGAGCAGATTGTTTCCCTGCCGCGATGTCTCTCACCGGATCTCAACGACGACGCGTAGGATTTCTACGTGATACCCGTGCCGAATCCGGACGGCTATGTGTACACATGGGACAGTGACCGCTTGTGGTGCGTCAGGTCTTCGAAGGCTCGGATCGCGCAGCCGTCTCAGCTCTGAATTCGGACGCAGGTACAAGAACAGACAGAACATCGGTGCTGCAGAAACATGTGTCGGCATTGACATGAACAGGTCCGTACGTCCTGCCTAGTCTGGTCGTCGCCATCTCTGAACGGCCATCTCAGGAATTGGGTCAGCGAACGCGTCCCGCTGCGTGATGGGCATCGTCCAACCTGACTTTACCTTCTTCCAGGGTTACAAGTGGAAGGCGAAGTCCAAGCTCCCGTCGTTCTCTGACCGCAGCAACGGCTCCTACGGAGCAGCCGAAGCGGACCCTTGTTCGCCGTGGTACCCGGGCCATCGCCCGTTCGAAGCCCCAGAAGTGAACAACATCGCAAACTTCATCACCACGCTCCCCTCGCTCAAGGCGTTTGTCGATCTCAGGAGCTACGGACAGATGCGTAAGCCGCCACGGGCATATCTTAGACAGCAGCCTTTCTTGCTGACGACTGGGGCTCGTGTGGATACCAGTGTCGACGCCGTTCTCGTTCTCGTGTAAGAAGGTGCCCAAGGACGCCGAGGACCAGCTTGAGGCTGCGCTCGGCGCCGTCAACGCGATCAAGCAGGTCCACGGCACCGAGTTCACCGTAAGCCCGACACGCACGCGCACCGCTCGCTCTCCCGCTCACCCCCAGCCACAGACCGGCAGTCTCTGCGAACAGTTGTACAAGTGCGTCCCAGCAGCGATTTAGGTACTACTCGGCTGCGCGCTCACCGGGACGAGTGATGCAGGGCGTCGGGCAACGTCGTCGACTACATGTACGCCAAGGCGGGCATCAAGTTCGCGTACTCCGTCCATCTACGCGACACCGGCACGGTACGCATCTCTCCCTCTGTTTCCCTCCCTCTCTCCCTCTTGCGCCTCCCCCGTCGTCGTAGGCACTCATCCTTTCGGGTCCGCAGTACGGCTTCTCGCTGCCTGCGCAGTGGATCAGGCCTGTAGGCGAGGAGACCGCGAACATGATCCGCTTCCTCGCAGGCTTCATCTCGGGCAAGGGCCGCGGCAAGGGCAAGAAAGGTGCGCCTCCGAGCATACAATAGCCAGCCTCCTTCAGGCATCCATCCTGAGCCGGGCGCTTGCTCACTGGTCGGCAGTGACTCGGACAGGGTGAGCCTACCTACCGTATCTGAAGGCTCTCTCTCCGTGGTGTCGACCACCATCTCCCCGCTTGTGAGGTTTCGGCGCGTTGTCTAGGTCTAGGATCGTTGTGCTTGTGCTGTGTTGTACGAATATACATACGCCGGTGCGATTTTACCAGTACACCGATCACATGCGACGACGAGGGGCTCTTGCCAGAACGACCGCAATGTACATGTGTGTATGTAAGATCGCGACCGACCCCGAACGCACACGCTTTGCATGCATCAAGGCTGTGAGCATCAGTGGCAGGACCGATCTACCGTACCGCAGGCCTTCGTTCCCCAGCGATCCGACTTTTTGCGGCACGAGGAGACTGCGATGCGGTCCGGGAAAGAGGGGTGGTGGTATATTGGCCACGACGCTGTACAAGTATCACAATCTATGCGAAGAACCAGTCGGGGCGGTGGCGATGGCAGCACGGATCCAGAGAAAGCGGGTGTGTGGTGTTGTACGGGAGGAGAGAGGGACAGAGGGAAGGAGCAAGACCGCTGCCAGCGAGGAGAACGTGGGGGCGTGTCGTGACGGTGACAGACGGGCGGACGGACAAAATGTGGGGCGTGCGGGCTAATAATGCAACAACTCGGAGGCGGGGGTGGGAGGGGGAAATGGGGGTGGAAGTGGAGATGGGAGATGGAGGACGTGGGTGCAAGCGGCAGCAGGTAGACACCGTAAGGATGAGTTCGGCTGAGCAGAAGCAGGGATCGATGATTGGATGGATCGATGGATGGATTGGGAAGAGAAGAGGGAAGGACGAGTGTCCGTGCGTCCGCGATGTGAAAGTGGCCATGGGAAGGGAAGGGGAGGAGTCAGACGGTAGATGCATGCTACATAGGATAAGACAGAACAGGACAGGACAGGACAGGAGACAGTCATAATAAGAATCCAGGGAGCAAGCCTGCAGCGCAGGCGGGGCGTACCGAGGCGCGTCATAGTAGATAGTGGAGAGAATAAGAAGAGAGAGGCAGAGAGAGAAGCTCGTCGTGTCATCACACGCCGCACTGCGCGACGTCGTGAGCGCATTGCGGGGCCAGGTCATCAACGTCTCCGCTGACGTTCGGAAGGAGGGGCGGGCAACCTCACGACGGACGCCCCAGGCCACTCCGCCTGCGCTCGTCGCCAGGCCCGACCTCGGGGTCCATCCGGCCCAGCACCTCCTCCGACGCGATACTGAACCCGCTCCGCGCGCTCCCCGTCGACGCATGCCGCGAGCGCACATACGCCGCCGCAGGCGACGCCCCCACGCCCTCGGGCGTCCCAATGCGCGCGCCCTCCAGCGGACTCTCGCGCCTCGTCGCCGACCCGCCCGCGTACGCGAGCGGGTCGAGCGGCTGGCGCGGGGTGCTCCCGCGCTCGGCGCCAGGGCTCACAGCGGACCCGGCGCGCGGGCTTCCGCTGGGCTCGCGCCGACGGCTGCCGAGGCCCTGCAGGGACGCAAGGAACGTCTCGTTCAGCTCGCGCAGGCGCACGTCGACCTCGGCCTCGGTAGTCAGCATCGGCGGGTACGGCGCGGACATGGTGCGCTCGCGAGCATGTGCGGGAGGAGGGCCGACGTCGGCGTCGCTCGCCTGGCCAGAGGAGGACTCTTCGCGGATCGTGCGCTCGCGCGTGTGTGGGGAGGACGGCCCCGCGGACGCGGGCGAGCCGTCGCGCCTGCTCGAGAGCGGCTTCCGCGCGTCGATGTCCTGCACGAACGCGGAGATGTCGTCGTCGTCCGTGTGCGCGCTGAGGTACGACGTGCCCTGCCAATCGACGCGGTCAGTTCGACGATCTCCGAAACATCCCCCTGCGCCTGTAGATCCAGGGCCGCTGCTCACCTGTGCCTTCTCCACATCGGTCCCTGCCTTCTTGGGACTGCCCCGCGGGCTTGCCTCTCGGCTCCCGGTGGCCCCTGCCGTGCGCGGACCGAAGCTGCTGGTGTACCTTCTGCCCTGCTGTCGTGGGGAGCCCTGCAGGCCGCCAGACGCGGGGCTGGCAGGTATGCCTTCGCCAGATACTAGCGAGCGTCCGGATCCCAGGCTTGATGGCGCGAACGTCGGCGACGGTCGGAACGGCGTGACAGGGGAGGACGCCAAGTTGCTCCCCGCTCCGATGGGTGACGGGGGTACGCGTGAGGAGGATGGGCTCTGTACGGGGCGTATAGGAAGCGATGGACCTCCCGTGGAGAGGGGCGACTGTTGGCGGAGAGACGGCGAGGGTGAGTGCAGAGATGGCGAGCCTGACGATATGGTGGACGACTTGAAGGCGTTGACGATCGGCGGGCGGCGAATGGGGACGCCGGGTGACGCGCCGTCCAGCTTCAGGAGAGGAGAGTGAGTATGATCGCGGAGAAGCATGCGAACAAAGACGCGTACCGAGCTCCTTCCTTGCATACTCTCGCGCCTCACCCGAGCGGCCAGTGCAGACACCTCCTCCCTCGAACCCAGGGACGCAGCACCCTGTCTAGATGACGAGGAGTCCGAGACGCCAGACGTGCCCATACCTGCTCCTGATAGATTGCGCGTGACGGGAAGCGGGATGTTGCCTAGCCGCGGGCTGCTGCTCCCGCCTGGACTACCCCGCGCTGCTTGCGTGGACGAGAACGACGTGGTGCGAGTGTGCGTCGCGGGCGGAATGATGAATCTGTCTGCTACTGAGCGGGGAGGGGATCGGGGTAGTGATGTGCGGAGGGGTAGGCTTCCTGGTGACCCTGACAGGCTGTCGCGCTGCTGGTTCTTAACAAGCGTCGGCGTGAA